GGTGACTCTAACATCCATCGACTCGGACTTCTCCAAGCAGAAATGACTTGGAAGAAGCTTTCCAAAAAGGTGCTGTGCCTTGGTGGAAAAAGATTTCTCTAGGACAAAGAAGTCAGCCATGTGTGTCTTACTGTTTGTGTTATCATGGACGAGTAACCAGCCTGTGTCAGCTTTGACTTCACCATCCATAAAATAGCAATGGTAAAATTCCAGTAATGATACTTATTACTATGATTAACACAGACTAAAGAATTCCTAAAGCTGGGGGGAGAGCTCAATCAGTCAAGTGCTTGTCATGCAAACGTTAAGGACCAAAGTCCATCCCTAGGACCCACATTGTAAAAAAAAAAAAAAAAAAAACTGGCCTTGGTAGCACATGCTTATAATCCCAGAGCTGAGGAGGCAGAGACAGCAGAATCCCTGGGTCTCACTGACAAGCCAGACTCGCCTAATCAATTAGGTACAGATTCAATGAGAGACATCTCAAAAAACAAGGTAGACAGCTGTTTTAGTCTGTGACAAACCACTCTGACCAATACCAGTTTGGGGAGGAAAGGGTTTCTTTGACTTACATCTCCTAGGTCACAGTTCATCACTGAGGGAGCCCAAGGTAGGAACTCAAGGCAGGAACCTGAAGGCAGGAGCTGGAGCACAGGCCTTGGGGGAACGCTGCTTACTGGCTTGCTCCCCTGGCCCATGTTCAGCCTTTCTTATACAGCCTAGGCCCACCTGCCCAGGGGTGGCACCACCCACAGTGGGCTGGGCCCTCCTATATCACAAGAGGATGCCCCACAGACATGGTCACAGGCCAGTCCAATGGAGGCAATTCCCCAACTGAGGCTCCCTCAATCCAGGTGTGTCAAGTTGACACTATAGCTATCCAGCACACTGGCTTGCTTCCTGGGTCCTCTGCTTAGCCTTTCTTATCCAATACAGGACCACCTGCCCAGAGGTGGCATCACCCACAGTGGACTGGACCCTCCCACATCACTCAGCAATCAAGAAAATACCGCACAGACCAGTCCAATGGAGTCAATGCCCCAACTGAGGCTCCCTCAACCCAGGTGTGTCAAGTTGACACTAAAGCTATCCAGCACAGCAGCGCCTAAGGACTGACACGAAAGAATGACCTCTAGCTTCCACATTCATGCATATGCGCACGTGCACACACACGAATTCATAGAACATGAGAGTTTTATAAATGATAACACTATATCTTTATCAAACAGTGCTTTGTACAAAAATTAGAGTTAATAAATATTTGTGGAAAGGAAGGTTGTAGAAAGGAGGGAGGAGGAAGAGAAAAATGGGTTTTGAAGAAATATTCAGATTTCACACTGCTATAAATCCTGACATTTTTCCTTAATAACTTTCCTAATTATAACATATATTTGTTACACAAATTTTTACTCCCATGGACTATTACCCATCAGAACATCCTACAGGTTCCAGGCCTCTAGTCACCACTGTAGCTCTGCCGTTCCAGTCATAATGTCTGACCTCTTACAGGTATGTGTCACCAACAGGTCTCTGCTACCACAAAGCCCTGTCACCTCTGCTGACACCTGGAAGCCCAGTTCCATGACAGTGTCCCTTAGCCTACAGAGGACAGCCAGCACAGAGCTTTCTCATGATGGATATACCCTTCACTGAGGAAGCCCTTGTTACTTGGGTAAACAGAGAATGCTCTGAAACTCTCAGGTGAGCACAGACAGATGGTGGGGGGTAAGGGGTATCCTCTGGTCTTAGCTAATAAACCCATTCTATCCAGGCCTGCCTTCTGCTCATCTGTACTCCACAAGGGCAGTTAAGGCTTCTTCTCTTCATTGATACAAGCTACAATTTTCCCCAAGCTTGAGGAGCCATCCCAACAGTACAGTCAGACAAGATTCTGGTGTCCTTACAACATTAGTACAACCTGAGTACACCTCCCTATGGGTGTGGGTCCTTCCACCCTCCTCCTCTCCTCACAGTCTACACCCGTGGCCAAGTACCTTCTCCCCATTCCTCCTGGGTCACATTGCCCAGTAGCTCCTTCAGTGGAGACTCTCATTTCTCACCCCAGGCAGGTCTTTCCCCTAGTTATCGTCTAGAATATATCAGTTGTAGGGACTGGGATTATAGTTCATTAGACAAAGGATTTGCCTAGCAGGCACAAGGCTGTGTTCGAACTGCAGTACCACATAAAATGGACATGGTGGTACAGGCCTATAATCCCAGCACTCGGGAGGTTGAGGCAGGGGGATTAAAACACAGGGGTTGTGAGCTCTAGGTGAGAAGGGCAAATATCATGTAAAAAGCACCCTCCTTGGGTGTGCTCTGCGTGGTCTCTCAGCTAGATGAGTCTGCTGTCCTCCAACAAGAAGAAGCCAGCCAACAGACCCCTTCTGAGGGTCTCCCTCAAGCACATCCACCTGACCTGCCCTGCTCTAGGTCTCTGGGTCTCCTTCCTTCCTATTAGGACCATGAGTTAATAGCATAAGAGTTACCAGGGTGACAGAGTCAGCAGTTTAGATGATTAAGCTGTGTTCCCAGTTAGATCATAGGCCTGGTTTTCAGCTCTGCCTCTCTTCAAACAGCTTTCATACAGAAGCCCTCAAAGGGCTTCAATTGCCCTTAATAATCAACTAAGCCTACAGTCTTTGTAATTACCGTTGTCCTGTCCATATCTCCCAGATGTTATAGATGTGATGGGCACACATCCTTCCCCACACATCCCATAGCAGTTCCCCTCAGGGAAGTCTTGGCCATCATGATACTGCAGCCCACTCACTGTCCTGGCAGCTGCCATCACTGCCTGTGCACCGTACTGAGCCTCCCCAAAGACAGTCATGTGCACCTTTAGGTGCATTCCTCAGAAGGCCAGCATTTATGAAAGTCCAAATCAATGGGTTCCCTTGCTACCTTCCCCTACAATTCCCATTTGATTCAACCAAAGTCTAGAAGATGGAAGAGAAGGAGGCTAGGGTACTCGTAGGCCTCAACTGGGCAAATGACTGCTGTATCAGCCCACAATGGTCACAGCTCCTGTTGGGCATCTTCTCCTCTCCTATGGTTCTCTCTAGGAGTTGGTAATTGTGGCCCTTTTTGTCCCAGCACCCTGTTTTCCTACTGCTTCCAAATCAGAAATGTGTCTTCTCTCCTGGTTGATTTCTTTAACTTTGGCCAAATGTGTCATTTGCTCCTGCCAGGATTGTTCCTGATGCTACAGTCATCTTTCCTCAAACTCTGTCAAGCAGACTGCCTCAGGAAGCCCAGAAGGTTCCCCAAGATGGGTGGAAACCCAGAGCCATCCCTCACCAACGGCCTCTGTCCCTGCAGAGACTGCAGACTTTCAACTCCTTTCTGTGTCAGAATGGCTTCCTCTTCTTCCAACAGAACTGCTGCTATGGGTTGGGGTGATTTTACTCAGGTCCTTTGTCCCCGGGTGCTCAGCCAGTGCTTGACGTCAATCTCAACCTTTGCTTTGCTGCTTTTCACAGAGACTCGCTAATTCGTCCTTGAAGGAGCACTGCTAGATCCTAGCTGGGACCTGACAGGGGCTGCAGATGACACAACCAGGACACATGCTAGCCCAAGTCATTGTGTCCCTTACTAGACATGAAATCCCAAATTAATGCTCCAGTCAAAATAGCTGCAAGGTTTCAAGTGCTCTTATTGGCATACCAAAGTACATTAAAGGCTAAAAAGACTTATGAAAATTTGCTTGAATTCAAATGACAAGGAACATACTTTTTATTGACATGGCTATAGGTAGTTCTGATATATTATTTTTAAAATGATCAAGGTTAAACTCGACCCTAAAAATGCAAAAACTAAAGACATTTGCATAGAATTTGAAAAGAAGTCACAAAATCAGCTGCTGTAAGATTTTAGAGAAGAGCCAGCAATGCAGTTGAACCTCTACAAACACCTAAGACTTCTGGTTCTAATAAATTGCCATTTAAATGTAAAATATACTAAACAGGAACTAGCATTTGTAACGGATCATTTCGCCATGGTTGTGGGAGACCATCACACTCTGAAACATGAGTTTAGTCTCAAATATTTTTTTTAATATTTTATTATTTTTATTTTATGTGTATACGTGTATTGCCTGCACTTAGGTAATTGCACCCGTGCATGTAATGCCTGCAGAGGTCAGAAGAGGCTGTCAGATCCCCTGGAACTGGAGTTATAGACAGTTGTTAGCTGCCATGTGGGTACTGGGATTTGAACCTGGGTCTTCTGCAAGAACAGTCAGTGTTCTTAACCACTTAGCCATCTCTCCAGCCCCTAGTCTCGAATATTTTTAAACCTAAATAATAGTCTCTGGGTACATTGTTTTTCTGAGGTGTTTTTAATCACCAAGTAGACACTTCAATAAGGATCTTGACGGAAGGTAGGGCATTTTGCTCTGGACAATTTGCCACATTTAAACACCTTTTCTGTATCTGTCTGAGCTGTTTCTACTTCCTGTCTAGATAGTTGTCCAGTTAAAAGAGAAGTGGAGTGTTTTCTCTAAGAAAGCTTGCACTTGGGTTTCCTTTTGAGCAAGGAGCTAATGCATTGGTTTGCCAATTGGCCCAGTTGAAATTCAGTGATAGAATGTGAGAATTGAAAGACTTTCCAGTCCCATTTCCTAAGCATATCCAATTCTTTTAAATCTGCGGCACTAACAGAGTGAGGACTGTTATAAATATACAAGTCATGTTCCAAAACTCAAAGCAAAAAAAATAACAACAACAAAGGAAAAAAAAAAAACACCACTAAATTGTAGGTGTATGAGCCAGAGAAGGTATTTGGGGGAAAGGTCAATATTATTTTACATTTTTAGCATGCGTGTGTGGCACCTGGACCTTGTACCTAAGCAGAGCAAAGGGAAGCCGGTAACCGGCTGGTTCAATGTTCTGGGCAATATTGAACCACACTTGAATGCAGAGGGTAGAGCAGGTATGTTCCTGGGGCAAGGTGGTCTGTGAGGCTCAGGCCACCAGCTGCATATTGAAGGCCATGCCAGCTTAGACGGTCTCACATTCCGTGGTGGCAGTGGAACAGGCCCCGCAATCACAGCGGACAGCTACGGGATAGTTGTAGAAGGGGTCCACTCCAGGGGCACAGTTAGGCAGCTTGACAGTCGCCTGTCTGGTCTCGTTGTAGGTACAGACTCGGTGATGGGCTTCAATGTATGGGGGCTCCAGGATGGGTTTCTATGCGGGCAGGTACAAAACAGAAAGCCCATTAGAACACACCCTCCTGCTTCCTGTTCTTGGTTCCATTCCCCACCAGCTGTTCACTTACCCTGTCTCCTCCCCCTAGAAATAAACTCCTGAAAGCGGAAGCCATTTTGTTCACTACCATATCCTAAGCTTCCAGAAAAGTCCATAGAGCACAGGAAATACTGAGTAAATATTTACCAAGCAAATAATCTTGATTATTGCAAATGCCTTCTAACTGGTCCTCCGCTTCCACTGTCACCCCTACAGTCTGTTTACATGAGTGATCCTCTTAAAATACACATCAGTCATGTCCCGCCTCTGCTCAAAGCCCCAATAATTTCCCATCTAGCTCAGAGTGAAACGTCAAAGACATTAAGACAAAGTCCCTGCATCTTCCGCCTCGGTGCTTCTGAAATGTCTGCCATGGTCCTGGCCTTGTGACTTCCTCCCTAGGCTCTAGATACAGTGGTCTCTATTGCTATTCAGACCAGCCGGAAACTGAGAGGTGTTGTGCTGTTCCCTCTGCCCAGATCATTCTTCTCCCGCACTCACTCCTTCACCAAGCTTAGGGTTTTGTTCAAATACCGTCTGGGGAAGTATTTCCTGACCATCCTATTGAGAATGGCTTCAGCCCACCTCCAAGCCCTAGAGCTTCCTTTTAGCCTCCTGTTTTGTTTCTGTTTGGGGGGTTGTTGTGTTGTGTTGTGTGTGTCCATACCATGTGCTGTCTTATCTTACTTTTGTGTGGCCTGGCTCCCGGCGTCAGCTCCTTAGGTCAGAGTCTGTGCTCCACTACCCAGCCTGCTACCCAGGAGGTTCACAAGTATTTGTTACTGAATCAACAAAAGATAATAGAACCAGACATGATGATTGAAAGATTCCTTCCTTCCTTCCTTCACCTTTTATAAACCTTGAATTCAAAGATAATTTTGTTAGAGAAAGCACAGAGATCAGCACAGAATAGTAGTGTTCTACCTGGAGGCCTGCACTCAGCCCCACAGTCATCTCTGCACTCAGCCCTGCTCTCAGCCTCAGGATCATCTCTCCACTGAACCCCACAGTCATCTCTGCACAGCCATCTCGGCACTCAGCCCCACAGCCATCTCTGCACAGCCATCTCTGCACTCAGCCCCACAGTCATCTCTGCACTCAGCCCTGCTCTCAGCCTCAGGATCATCTCTCCACTGAACCCCACAGTCATCTCTGCACAGCCATCTCGGCACTCAGCCCCACAGCCATCTCTGCACAGCCATCTCTGCACTCAGCCCCACAGTCATCTCGGCACTCAGCCCCACAGTCATCTCTACACTCAGCCCCACAGCCATCTCTGCACTCAGCCCCACAGTCATCTCGGCACTCAGCCCCACAGTCATCTCTGCACTCAGCCCCACAGCCATCTCTGCACAGCCATCTCGGCACTCAGCCCCACAGTCATCTCTGGCACTCAGCCCCACAGTCATCTCTACACTCAGCCCCACAGCCATCTCTGCACTCAGCCCCACAGTCATCTCGGCACTCAGCCCCACAGCCATCTCTGCACAGCCATCTCGGCACACAGCCCTGCAGTCCACCCTGCTGCTTTCCATTGCTGGAGACCTAGGAAAAGCATTTAACTCTCTGAAGCCCTGGTTTCTTCCTCCATAAAACAAAGCACCTACCTCAGAGCCCTGTCAGTGAGTAGATAGGTGCAGTGCACAAAGCTAGGCATAAGATTATAGCTCAGTATGTGTAATCAGCGGTTGTTATGTGAGCAATTCTAAGGAAGTAATAATGAATGTAACAGCAACAGTCTCAAAGGACAGTCCCTTTGTTCTGGGCAAGAAAATGTAGGTAAGAAGGTCAGATAGATGGATGCTTGCATACATACATAGGTGCATGCAGAGATGTGCGCATAGCTACATATATACATACATATACAGATGCATACATAGATACATATTTAAGAATATATGTTCTTAAAAAATATGTTCTTAAAGAATACATATTCTTAAATAGGTACATACATGCATAGGTACATATAACGTACCTACATACATATGTGCATAGGTATATATACACATACATACATATATACATGGACAGACAGACAGATCAGCTCAAGATGAAGCCCTTGCCTGAATGTTTCAAAAATAACAACCTTTCCCTTTGCAAAGACCAGGGAGAGGAGCACAGTTCATCCTCTGCCGTTTTCTCCTGCCTTCCTGTCTTTATTCTGTGTCCTTTTACTCTCTGTATTCTGGGATTCTAGGAAAATCAGACACTCAGTTAACTTTGCATTTCAGGTCATTTTTCTTGTTTTATAAATCTGTCCCATACAATGTTTGGGACAGGCTTATGCCAAAAAATTATGCTGTTTAATCTGAAATTCAGTTTTATCTGAGTTCTCTGATTTTTTTAATTTTGTCTCACTTCAGTTTGGGGGTGCCTAAGGTAGGAGAGGGTTGATGGGTTTTTTTCGTTGGTTAGTTGGTTTCTGAGGTTTTGTTCTGTTTAATTTTGCTAAATCTGGCAACTTAAAGCTCAAGTCATAAGAAACCACTATTGTCAACACCTTCAAAGGCCAATCCAGCCCATCATCATGAACATCACTACAAAAATGCTCCCTAGTTAAGCCACCTTTGAGATTTTATTCCCATTTTAAGTGAAAGGCCAGATATAACTGAATATAAAAGGACTTCATGGGTCTGTCACTAAACTGAGGGGAACAGAGCTGTGGTGGAAACGAACTAGGCCTCACTCACCACACAACTTACAAGTTCTTTTGCAATAACTACATTATTTTATCACAGCTAAGGGACTAGAGAAGGAGATGAGGTCACAGGTTTGGACCAATATTTCCAACTTTGCGCTGACTCTCTTTGACTTTACAGTCCCTCCCCTTTGACTCTTTCCTGTAATTTTTACAGTGGGTACAGCAAGAACTCCCAGAGATATCACCCAAATACACAGACACCATGGAATTTAAGCTTTTAACCTTATCAGTGCTCTGCTGAAGGAACAGTGTCATGTTTTGGGAATCGTTTTTGGAAGATGCCAAATAATTGTGCAATTTAAAGTCCAGAGGACAGGGCAGATGTTCCGTTCAGCCCCACCCACTCCCATCACTAAACAGTGGACACTTGGCTATCATATTGAAGAGCTGGGATGACATTGCCCTCATACAAGCCTGTGGGGCCTCTTACCTCCCAGGTCTCACAGCGGCCCCAGCATGCATCAGTGGTGATTCAAAGGCCCCTGCAGCCTGGCTTCTTGGCCAGGAAAGTGAACTCCCTCACAGCACAACCCACAAAAGTGTGCAAGTTTCCACCGGTGTTGCTGAGGACAGAGCCACAGCCACCCAGAAGGAGTGCTATGGCACCAAGCACGAGGTATGCCAGCTTCCTGCTGTCCGGGAAAGGAAAAGGAAACAGGGTTGAACACACCCAGCTGCCCGTGGTGGCACAGCCAACAATGTGTTGGTCCCTCTCAAAGGGACTTTCTCTTACCATTCCAAGAAAAATGAGCCAAGAATTGTCAGTGCCACCAACCCCAACACCAGTGGCATTTTCCATAACTGACTCCAGCAGAGTCAGAGGATCTCTCTAGACACCTAACGCTCAAAGAATATTCTCAGACTTTTCTTTATTGAACCCAAACTCCTGGAGATGCCTTGTATGTAAGAGGAATTTGTCCATTAAAAAATAATAGTAACACCAAAAGTAATGGGTAGCCCAATATAAGCCATGAATCCACAGGCCCAGGCAATGTGGATGCTGTGTCAGAAGCTTTGCATATATCTATATTTTTAGTGTCATGAATGGGAATGAATGGGGAAAGGTGGATAAGCATTAACAGTTGTATGCCCTACGTGTGTTGTTATTGATCTTACCTATCATGCATAAGATATTATACAACCTGGCACCTGAAATAAAAGTCATTCATAAAATGTGTACTAGTCACCACAGATCGCCTCTGCTCTACACTTCTGCTGTAAGAAGCACCTAGCTGTGACTCGGTTTAAAACCAAATGATGGAAAGCACTCGTGGCATTCCAAGCATAATCACGATCCTCTTTGGAGTCTATCCTTTCTGAGTCCTGGTCATTTCTGGTGCTCTGGTAGCTAGAATGGGCCCTTTGTGGTTGGCGCAGTGGTCAGAACACACCTGGATGTTGTGCAATGCCCCCAATCTGCTGTCTGTGTTTCCATATCCACTCTCACAGTTCTTACAGGTGTGTTCTTCATATGGATTCTGTGGGCTTCCCTTCAGGAAGAAGGAAATTAGAGCTGGAGATGCACTTACCCAATCTTGCTGGAGTCAACTCCTCTTGTAGAGCTGACACTTGTACCCGAGGCTTTCAAAAGTCACAATGAATGGGAAAAGTTGGCTTTGGGTAAGTGTCTCTCTTTTCTGTTATCGGCCTGCTTGATTGCTCAAATATATACCAAGGTCTTGTCAATTAAGTAAAGAGAGGCAAATCTTTACAGGAACCACTAAGCACATCAAAGCCATGGAATATAAAGCCAGTCTCTATTTTCCAAAACTGATTCACTTAAAGGGTGGTGTTTTGTTTCTTAGCATCACCAACTGAAACAGAAAGTTGCCTTTGTGGGTGACATAATCCTAGGGAATCAGTCAGAGGTGGTTCACCTGGTTCTGAAAGAACAAATGCACTGGGCCAAGAGGGATCAAAGTTTCCTTCATGGCAACCACAGGTTTCCTTTGAAAAAGGAGCAAGTCACTAGCAGCCTATGATATATCCTTTCCTCGAACTCACGACACTGAAAAATAACAAAACAATAATTCTTGGAAACAACAAGGCATCAGCGACTGAAAGATGAAAGTCATGATGAGAAGGAAATTTGAAAGTCTTAAAAATTATTTAAGTAGAAATACTAATGAGATCTGAAAATGAATCGCATGGGCAAAAATACCAAGACATTGGAAATGATGAGTTTTGAACATGAGAATTAAAATTTTTTCTATGTGCTTTTTGGCGTTTTTTACATGGGTCAGATTTCTGTTCTAGAAAGTCAACTGGTATTAATGTTTTTAAAGTTAAAATAAAGTAAGGTTTATGTATTTGAACCACACATAAGGGCATTCCATGATGCTTTAATGAAAATGTCTCCAATTTCTGATTTTAAAAGGCTGAAGTAGCAGAGGAGTCCTTCTTATGAGTAGGGGACATGGTCTGTATTCCATTCTATGATAATGGCATACAAAATGGCTAGAAACCTACTTGTTCATGGCACTTTGGAGGTGCTCTAAAAAGTAAATGAAGCAGACATCTATGCCCTTAGGAGTTTACATTTCATAGCAAATCATGGCATACCCAGAGACAGTTAAGATGCATGTTAGTTAGATATCAATGAAGCAAAATGGAGAAATTAAAGCATCTTCATGTTCTGCAAAGAAAAAATTTTAAGCAAATATACCATTCATTAAAGGTTTGATCTTTCAAAGCCTATAACATCAGAGAGTTCATCAATGTAACACTCCTATCCCTGGAATCAGATTATTTTATAGAGAGCAGATGTCCGCTTGGAATGAGGGCTTTCTTCAATCCTTCAGCCTGTGCACAGCATAGGCAGACCTGGGACACTATGGGAACAGACCTTTACCTGCTTGCTCTTCCTAAATTGCTGGCCCAAGAGCTAGTCACAAAGTGGGAAGTGCTGTGTCTCTGAGCAGGGCTGCTCGTGCCTTTTAGACTTGGCACATACACATGTACCTGTAGTCTCACAAAATAAAGACAGACAACAAAGGCTGGTCAAGAGCCCCCTTCTTCCACAATCTCCAACTACCTGGTGGTCTGTCACCTCTGCCTTCTGTCCATCAGTGATAACCTTACAATGATGACCTTTGTGGTTATCAAGCACTTTACTACCAGGAACTATGGAATCTTCTGGGATCTTATCTACATTATCCTCACTCAACCTTTCATGAATTCTATAAATAATTCTCACTTTTTCCTTTTTACTTTAGAAGAAATGGGTGCTTAATCATTTTTTCAATGTATATTTTTATTGACTTTATGTCACCCCATAGCCCGCCCATAAGATTTCATACATTCTGTTTTATATGCTAAAGCATATCAAGTCAAGTTTGTGTACCCAGCTGTCTCTCAGTATAAGTTCATCCACTGGAGCCTGTTCCACCTATCTAGTATACTCCCTTAAAGAAGCTCAGCTTTCCCTCACCCAGCAGTGATCAGCTGCCAATAGTTCCTTGGTTAAGGTTGGAACCTCCTGCACATTTTTCCCAGTTCTATGCTGGGTTTTTACCTGTTTGAGTTTGCATGGATCTTGCGCATGCTGTCACCGTTGCTGTAAGTTTGTATGAGCAAGTTCCCAGGAGCCTGTAAGACTATCTTCTTATGGTCATGCACCACCCTTGCCTCTTAGAATCTTTCCACCCCTTCTGCAATGGTCCCTGAGCCCTGGGTGGTAGAGGTTTAATATAGGAGTCCTATCCAGGGGCCCATGCTCTGCAGTCTCTTATTCTCTACTCGATCATTTTTTCAAACCTACTTCCAAAGCCTTTGACAACACTAGGGGTGGCAAATTTTGTTTAATATTTGTAACAACTGCATCCAACAGAAGGGGCTGCCTGGGATGCTGCATTCCAAGTGTAGATGGCAAAAAAAATTGGGTGCTACCTTTTGCCATCCTGGCGTCTGCCATGCTATGTGTCTCTCCATGGACAAAGTCAGAGGTTACAGAGTGACTGCAAAAGCTGCTTCAAGCCCTGAGTCTGCCAAAATATCTTCCTATTGTAGTCCGTGCCCCTACCACCTTCCCTTCCATCTATATTGAGGGTTCTACCACTGAAGTCACTCACCTGAGGCAGCACACAGAGATGTAGGTCATGTCTCCAATCACAGACCCGGAGCACCATCCCTCACTTGGGTTCATTTTCTTCTTCACATGAATTCCTTTATCATCTTGGCGAGTGACTTCCAAGGTTCAGGTTCATTAGAGGTTAGGGAAGGGGAAAAGAGGAGGTTATGGTTGGATGTTTTTAATGTGTCCCTCGGGGGTTCATGGGTTGAAATTTTATCCCCATGTGACTGAGCAAAATGAGCAATGCTGAAGGTACCACAAAGGTTGCTTTCAAAGTATTGTAGAGACCTACAGTAATGAAAACAGGATGGTATCATCATAAAAGCAGACACACAGACCCAGAGGCATAGAGGACCCAGAAATAAACCCACACATCTTCAGCCAATTGTCAATAAAAAGTGCCAAAAACATACACTGAAGAAAAGACAGCCTCTTTAACAAATGTTAGTGGGAAAATTTGATGACTATATGTGGAAGACTGAAACTAGATCTGTATCTCCACCCTCTATAAAAAACAATTCAAACTAGATTAAAATCTACTAGTTAATGTAAGACTTGAAACTGTGAAACTATTAAAGATAAGAGAAGCATTTCAAGATGTTGACACAGGCTGTGATATCCTGAAGAAGACTTACCTCGGGAAATAAGAACAAGAATTCACAAGTGGAATTGCATGAAATTAAAAGGCTTTCACAAAGCAAAGGAAACAATTGGCCTATAGGATGGGAGAAAATCTTTGCCAGCCGTTTATCTGACAGAAGACTAACATTCAGAACTAAAAAAAAAAAAAAAAAAAAAAATCATCAACAGAAGAACAAATAATTCATTTAATAAATGGAGAATGATCTGAACAAACACTTCATAAAAGAAGTACAAATGGCCAATAAATTATCAAAAATAATGCCAGTGTTTTTAGCTACTGGAGAAATACAAATGAAAATTTGACTGGGATTCTATCACATCAAGTCAGCATGGCTGTCATCAAGAAAAAAAGTCACCATACAATATCATCACACTCATGCTTATTATGACACTATTCACAACAGTCACAATATGAAATCAGGGGCTGGAGAGATGGCTCAGGGGTTAAAAGCACTGACTGCTCTTGCAGAAGGCCTGGGTTCAGTTCCCAGCACATACATAACTGTCTGTAACTCCAGTTCCAGGGTATTTGACACCCTCTTCTGGTCTCCACAGGCACTGCACAACACAAGTGCACTTACACACATGCAAGCAAAACACTCATACACAAAAAAGTAATAAATAAATTTTTTAAAAGATATGAAATCAGCCCACATACCAAATGATGAATGGAATACAATGGCATATTCTTTCGCCATAGAGAAGAACAGACTATGTCCTTTGCAGGAAAATGATTGAAACCAGAGATCATCATGTTAAGTGAAACAAGCCAGACAGAAAGCTCAGTTTCAATTTTTTTTTCTCACATGTAGAATTTTTTTAATATTTTATTTATTATTATTTTATGTGTATGGGTGTATTGACTGCATGTATGTTAGTGCACCCAAGTCTTACAAAGCCCACAGAGGCCAGAAGAGGGCATTGGATTCCCCAGAACTGGAGTTATGGAAGGTTGTTAGCCACTATGTGGGAGCTGGGAATCGAACCCAGGTCCTCTGCAATAGTAGCCAGTGCTCTCAATTTCAGAGCCATCTCTCTAGCCCTAAAACTAGAATTTTTTTTAAAAACTGAACTGAGGGGCTGGAGAGATGGCTCAGTGGTTAAGAGCACTGACTGCTCTTGCAGAGGACCCAGGTTCTATTCCCGGCACCCACTTGGCAACTAACAACCATCTGTGTAATTCCAGTTCCAGGGAATGTGACATCCTCTTCTGACACACATGCAAGAAATACACATACACATAAAATAGAAATAATAAAATATTTTAAACAAATAAATAAATGTTGCAGGGAGAGTGCAAATGGAGGAAGCAAATTCTTTGGAGGCTGTGAGATCTAAGCAGCATTCTGAACAAGGATCCAGGGGAGGCCCTGCTTCCTTCCCCAGTCAACTTGTGATATTCAAACACTAAAATTAACTTTGCTGTTCATCAGGAGAAGGTTGAATAGTTATATTTAACTCTTAAGATCCAGTTTACCATAGTTGGAAAAGTTATTCATGAATATTCATGAATAGTCCCAAATAATTTCTATTCTAACTAAACTTAGAGTCAAGCTGACTAGGCCAGTCAGCATTTACTAAGCACCCACCCTGCTCTAAGAGTACTAAGCAAAGGTTTAGAGGACCTAAGCTGTCTGCTCTATCACTTAAGAGTTCAGAAACATACACATTGTTATTTGCCGGGTGTCCTCTCAGAAGGCCCATGCTCAGCCTGTGTCAAAGTAATCACTGTTATGCCACCTGTGGGTGAATTTAAAGCCACAAATGAAATTACATGCTTCAAGGAACTAACAAAATTCATCATTGTCTGCAAACAGTTACAAATCAGGTGAGCCTTGGCTCTAAGAAACTAGTATGGTGCTTTTACTATCTCTTATTTACGAAGAAAGAAATTTCTGGGCTTGCAAATGAAGATGAATGGCAAAGACTTTTAGAAGAAATTAATTTCATTGGTCATTTCTGTCTCTGAAAACACTAGATATTTGTAGAACAGCTTCTTATGTTATTGGCTTAAAGAAATAACATTTGCCCTAGATGATGGTGCTGTTGCTATGGTTATATTTTTTTAACAAGGCTAAAAATAATGAAGCTTGTGTCTGATTTACTAGGACAAGTCAAGCCTTTCTCCAGAACTATCTGAAAGAAGTATCTGTTGGCTGTCATAGCTCTATTTCAAATTAGGGGCACGTCGTTTAGGCGCTGAAGTGAAATGTTTTTATTTCCACCTGACTCTGCCACTTTTGAATGTCTTGGCTCTACAGGGCACGGCAGACACATGTCTAACCAAGAGGAAGAGAGAAGAGTTTAATAAGTCACAAAGAGACATTCTTTATTGCAAGTGCATCCTGCATTCTTCTTGGAACAAGTCCAGAAGAGTCCCCAAGCCCTTCGATTGTAATTCCACAAGTAGTCTCACAGACAAGGCCAACGCTGTTGTTAGTAAAGCCTTGAAACATAGAACTCCATTTGGTAGCTATCGACTTTGTTTCAAATAAGATTCTTGGGACTTGGCCCTGCGGTATTCATGCATGTTGTTTGTGTGTGCCTGGGCCTACGCATGAGTGATGGAGCGAGGTGAAGGGAGGATGGGAAAGGGTATAGGAGAACCGGTCTACTCTCCATAATACCCATTACATCATCTTAATACTTATTAAGCAAGTACTATGTGCCAGGCACTTTCTCCCTTCCTCCTTCTTTCTTTCTTTCTTTCTTTCCATATTTTATTGATGACGATCTTATAATATGTACATGTGCTATAGTTGTGAATAGAGCTGAGAACCTGATTTGTGGCTGTTTCCTCTAGGATGAAATAGTCCCTCCACGGGAAGACAGGCAGGCTCACCAGGCTCATGAAACGCACAAGAAAATTTAAAGATTCTGGAAGCTCACAAAACTTACAAGGTTCACATGGCCCTTTTCCAGGTCACTTAAGCAGAGGAAATGAGGTTCTTTGGTAGAGTAGCTACATACACATTATACAGGGAACTCCAGTGGTACAACTTTCATGAGTTGCCACCCATGCTGCGTGGGCTTTCCCATGTAACTATTTTTGAGTCACCCCAATCTACTCATGGGTTCACTAAGCTGAATGTCTTCTTTTGGTCTGTCATTGCCCTCTCTACCTGGGGTGAATAGAAACTGACCCTCCAGGAAAAGCACCACAATACCTGATCTAAAATAAACCAGCTAAGAAACTGCATTCTTGGTCATTTCACCAAGAGAATGGAATTTTATGTTCATACAGAGGCCTATACTATTCAAAGCTTTGTTAATAAAAATCTCCAAACTGCTAACTACTCAGGAGTTCTTCAAAAGATGAACAATTAGACAAACTGGTACATCTGTACAGTGGGCTACTTCTCAGCAATGAAAAGCAATGAACATACAACAGCCTAGATTAATATCCAGAGCAATATGCCAGGTTTAAAAAGAAAACATTTATATAAATTCTTGATATGACTAAGGGAAATAAAGAATAGACCAGTGGTTGTCAGTTGGAGACTAAGGAGGACTGGAACAGGAGAGGAGTGGGGTAGTTATAAAAAGGTAACATGGGTTTTTGTTTTGTTTTGTTTTTGTCTTTTTGAAGCAGGGTCTCCCTGTAGCCCCAGCTGTCCTGGAACTCACTATGTAGACCAGGCTGGCCTTGAACTCACAGAGTTCCACCTGCCTCAATTTTGTGGTGATGAAAATATCTGTTTCTTGGCTATGGTGGTGTATACATGAAGGAAACACAAAATGAAACTGCACAGATGTGGGACTGGCAATGTAGCTTGGTTGGTAGAGCCCTTGCCTAGCTTGCACTAAACCCTTGGTTCGATCCCCAGCACTGCATGCACTAGGTGTGGTGGTGCAGTCCTGTGATCCTCGCACTCAGAGGGTAGAGATGGGATGATCAGAAGTTCATGGTCATCCTTGGTTACATATCAAGTTCAAGGCTTAGCCTGACTCAAGAAAGATTAAACTAAAATTAACAAAATGATTTTAAAACTGCATAGACTGAAATACACCTACACACAGGAAAAAAAATAGAATGTAAGTAAATCAGAAAATTTGATCAAGATTAGAAATTGTATCAATGTCAAGCCCCTGGTTATGATGACAGTGCTATCGTTTTTCAAGATATCATGAGGCCATGGGTGAGGAGTACATAGAACACCTCTGGATTAATTCATATGGCTGCATGTGAATACATAATTATATTAAAATACTTGATTTGGGTTTTTTTTCACCCAATGCACAGTAATACATTTAATGGTTGAATTAACAATTATTAACCAATATCTTATGGACAAGCATTTATTTAAATAAACGTTCAATGAAAAACATTGAACATGATTCATTTGCACTTATAGATTTGTACAAAATAATTCCAAGAAGTGCAA